AAATTGAATCAAAGGATTCAAAGTTTGAAATCAAAAATTATGATGATGAAATTCAAATTCTATCAAAAAATTATATAGGAAATTTTAGTTATAATATACCGAAATAACAAACCTACAAGGAAATAGATGTGGCCCTTGTTTAATTAATTTATGAATCATTATAATCTTAGTCAAAATCATAAAATTTTATATAAATTATGGAATCCATAGATTAAATAAGATCAAGTATACCAATCACTTAATAGGCCAAAATAAACGAAACGCCTGCAAAAGAATTTGATTAACATGTAATTAATTTATTGATATTCTTAGAAAACTCCATGTCTGAATTAGATATGCAATAAGCATAACAAAGAAGTAATTATGTTAAATGTAAATTACAATGAGCCAAAATTCGGTCGATTGGCATGCGTAGAATGTATTCAAGAAAACCCTATTCAATATATTAGTTTAAAAGAAGCAAATAATATGTGGAATACTCTTATCGGAGAATCAGAAGATTTAATTTCTAAACATAATTTTAAAAGAGAAAAAATATTTAAAATGGTTATATAAGAAATCAAATAACTAAAAAACCATTATAATAATTAATTATCAGAAATCTTGTCATCTATAGATGAATAGAATATTTAAAATAATTAAGAATTTTAAGATTTCCTAAAATTAGAGAATAAATAGATATTTGAATTAGGTGAAAAATAAGTTGAAAAGATGATTGATTTATTAAGTTAATAAGATAAAAATAAACATATCCTTTAGTAATAGGAGAAACAAGATAGACTTGATTAATTATTTTATCAGAATGTCAAATCAAAATTAGAAACCCTTATCAAGCATGATTTACTTTGCAAGTAATAATTGATGACAATTATTTAAGAATAACAAGGTAATTTGTTTTGATTATATTATATTATAGATAAAAAAGAAATAGGAAATAATCCATAAGCTGATGTTAAAATTACCCCTGAAATACACGAGTTTATATCGAAATGTTAATTGTAAGAGTAATATTTATAAATACATTCTGAATCAGTTGAATTTCAAATAGAATTATAGAAAGAAGTATAATAGCTTGAGTAAAAAGGTTAACTAGAATAATTTATTGAATTGGTAGGAAAAAATGATACCGATAATGTTAAATATACTTTACTCTAATAATAATTTAAATAATATGAAATAAATTCAGAAAAAATGAGGAAATTGATAAAGGCTGATGAAAATGAGAAATAATTGTTATTAATTACCAAACAAAAAGAAGAATTGCAGCTAAAAATTGATGAGGAAAAGTTAGAAATTAAATAAATTCAGTAAAAAATTTTTGATTTAGAAGAAAATATGAATCAAAAATTCTTTAAATAAGAATAATAATTTGTTGAATAATTTAATAAAGAAACAACTTAAAATAATGAACTTAAGTAAAATTTATTGGAATTAACTCAGTCTAGTGAAATACGATTGGAATAATTAACTACAAAATATAATGAGTTGAATTAATAAATTGATGATGTATAGTCAGAATTAAAAGAAAGAGAAAAATCTTCTGTAGTCTAAAATAAATTATAATCATTAACAAATAGTATTGAAACATAAATTATAACTGTCGATTAAAAAGTTGAGAAGTTAACAGAAAAAATAAAAGAAGTAGATACTTAATAAACTACATAAACTTAATTATAACAAGAAGTGTTAATTTAGAAAATAAATGATGAAATAAATGCAACAAAGTAATTAATTGAAAAATAAAATTAAATAGTGGAGTAAAATAAAGAACAAAATGCTAAATAATTTGCATAATTATCATAATCGATAGATGAAGGAGAAACAACACAATTATCATTAAAGAAGAAATTAAATGAATTAGAAAATTAAAACAAATAATAGATATAAGAGTTGGATGATAATATTAGTAAATAAACTAATTAATTGAAAAATATGGATAAAGTAATTTAAGAAAATTAAAAAAAATCATCCAAACATGAAGATTTGTTAAAGTATCGGTTCCTTTCAAGTAGATACGACCTTTTAGAAAAGGATACTACAAAATTATTTTTAAAAGAACTATTTTTCGAATCGAAATGTGATTAAATATTACAACCAAAATTGTTAAAAGAAGAATATTGGATTAAATTATTCTTTATTTTATAAGAAAAATCGAAAAAAACTATTAAAGAATCACAATTAATATATTAAGGAACCAGAGATGGATTGAACGGCAATTCATTTTGGAATAAATGTAATGGTAAGTGTAATCTACTTATGATATTTTAATCTTAGAGTGGATATATTTTTGGTGGATATTCTCCATGTTAATGGTAATAGAATATAAGTAATTATATTTAAGATGATACATTATCATCATTTTTATTCTCATAAACGCATGATTAAATCTATCCATTAAAATAAGATAGAAAATATTCTATTTATTCTAGTAGTGGATACGGGCCTACTTTTGGAAATGGCCATGATATATTTGTTAATTCTAATTTTAAAGATGGTTATTCCAATCTAGGTTATGCATATTAATGGGATAAATATGAGAATAAGTAGTCTACTCATTTATTTGGATAAGAAAAACCAGAAATTACTGAATGTGAAATATTTGAATTAAAATTTATTTGATATTTGAATTTAAGCTATTTTTATCTAACATTAAAGATCAGCAAATTTAATACTAATATATTTACCAATAATTAGTTTCTAAAAATAATTTTAACCTTTTTATTGCAAAATTAGTAGCATTTCTTTGATCAATTTAGTAATTAATAGGATGAATAAATCTAAATAAGAATTGGGATAAATTGTAATATAGAGACTTCGAAATCTTCAAGCAGTAGGTAAATATTTTTGAGTTTTGTTGGAATGTTTCGAATAGAATTTTAAATTAGATTTCTTAGAATTACAAGATTTAACAATATCATAATGATCGCTATGATTGAAGTGAATTATTTATAATTTAGCTGAGAACTAATATTTTCATAATGAATATTTGAGTTTATTGTATTCTTTTTAGTTATTGAAATACTATTTCGACAAATAAAAATTTATAAGAAATAATTCTTATTTCTATATATTCATTTAATTCATAAATTTACTGACACTTGGGAATCTTTTATTATTGTATGGAGATGATTTATCAATTCATGATCTTAAATATAGAATACTATTAGAATAAATCTACTAAAAAGCCAAGTAGATTATATTTAAGCTCTATCAACTCTCTTTTAAAATAATTGACAATTTATTTATAGTTTAATCTTAAGTTTGAAAATGGAAGGCCATTCTAAAATGGAAAACTTGAAATAATTGGATATTTTATGAGTTTGGTTTATAAAGTGAATTAAAGTATTGATAAGATAGAAATACTTGTCCATTCCCTTCGCAAATGCTTTTGATAAATTTGTGTTTTGGTATAGGAATGAATAGAAATGATTGCTCTTGTTGAAATAGATTACAAAATGTGAGTTTGAAGCAGGTAGGCTACAAATAATTTGAAAGTTGAAAAGCATTTATATTCACATTCTTGAAATGATTGGTAATAAGCTATTCAAATAAAGACTATAGAAAATATATTATTTATTATCTGCTTAGTACAAATACAATTAAAACATAATATAAAATAAACTAATCTCATTTTCTATTATAGATAATTTGTATCCAGTCATGTTATTTTTATAAAATTTTAATCTTTAAACTGATATATTCCCAGGATATTTACACAACACATCTTTAACTTCCTTGAATATCATATCTTAAATAAATTAAAATGATATCTTTTAATTCAAGATAGCTCATGCATTGAAAAATTTGGTATAATGTTCTCAAGATTTAAGTGATTCTGATTTATTTTGTAATTTAAAATCACTTTATTAAGGTAAGAATTTTAATGCAAAAATTTATCTTAATTTAAGAAAGAACGCAATCCAAAAGAAATTATTACAATAAATCCAATCAAGGAGAATAGAAAAATTTTAATATTCATGATCATAATCTAATGCAAAGAAAATGATTTAATTAATTTTTCATCTATAAACATGCTTTTATTTACTTGATAAAAAAGTGTATTAAATTTATTAGAAAATCAAATTTAATATTTCCAGATTGTTATTAAATCTAATGTCCATTTTGGAAAGCCACGAAAATATTTTATAAATACATATATATCTCTAAAAAATATTAAAAGTTAGAATAAATATCGATATTAAGACATCATAATTTAGCATTGAATAAAATAACAATGATAAAGATGAAATGATATATAAAATAGAAACTTTGAATTGAAGAAAAAATTTAATTTTTGGAAAATTATTCAGACTATTAAATATGCAATAATTTAATAATCCATCTTTTTTGGTGAATCAATTTAAGTTCTAATCAAACATTAAAATTCCTTTAAAAATTTAAAAAGGAAAAAATATTTGGAAATAACATATTTTGACTAAAGAAGACTAAAAGCTAATTTAAACGAAGATTAAAAAAACAGAGTCGCGAAACTTTGATATTGAATTTAAACAATTTAAATATTGAAAAAACGTTAAATCTTTTCAATAAGAAATAATTTTTTATTTTCAATTAAATTATGAGGCTATTTTAGAATAAATGGCATATTTTTAAGTTGCGATTTCCTTCATTTAAATGGAAAATTTTGTATATCATAAAATACAAAAAGACTTGGAAATTTTATTTTATATTTTATTACAAATTTAATAGAATTAGAGTGCTTATTTATTTTCAAATAAGATGTGAAATATTTTTTATTATTAATATAAAAAAAATGAGTATCTTATAAACAGATTCAGAGAAAATATCTTGCAAAGCACATAACAATGAGTATTGTGTTGCAGCAGATTTAAACACAAAAGGATAAAGGGATGTCAATTTTTTATGCATTAAGTGTATAATTGAATAGTTATCAAATAAAAAAATAACTTTAATCGATGACACTAAGAGATTAATTTGTGAAATGAAAACCTAAAAGATTGAAAATTAGTAAAAAGAGAAAGAAAAAAGGTGTGAGACATTTAAGAATGTTTTATCACAAATCAAAGAATTTAAACTACATTTAATATTATATTTATTTTCTTAAACTTATTAGATTTTTTGGATATTATAAAATAAATTGTAACTGTTGATGTGGCATTTGATAAAATGACCAGTTTTATACAATAGAGGTTATTTTATATTCAGAAGGAAATTGAATCACTACAATATGAAGGGAAAAACAATTACTTAGAAGATTTGACAGAATTATCAAGAATTTATTCTGAGGAAAAGTTTGATAATGGGATCAAAATATAAGAAGATAATAAAATCATAGAAGAAATTGAAAAATAATTTGAAACACTTTTTAACACTCCTCAATATTTATAATTAAATCAAACAATTAAAAATACAAGATCTCTTTTATAAGAAACAACAGAAGCAACTGTTTTAATATATTTAATATAACCATCAAATGAAAAGTTAGTTTATTTATTAATGACATAGAAAACTCCAAGTTTAAAAAAATTATGTAAGATACATAAAAAAGAAATTATAATGTTTGATGCAGATGTTGAATCAAAAATAAGGAAATAGAGGAAAAATTTATGTGTGTATATTGTATGAAAGATAGCCCAAAAAAATATAAGACAATTGAAGATTTAAATGAATAATGGACAACTTATATATCAAATGGAGTAAATAAAATTCCTAAGAAAATTTAGTAAATTTAAAACTATCCTTAGTTAACATAAATTGATACATCTTAAGACTTATATCCATGTGTGTATCTTTGTGATTCAAAAGTTAGAATCAAAAATATATCATGATCAATAAGGATTTGAATTTATTATTAGATATAAAATTTTCACAACCAGAAAACTAAAATTTTTCCACTACTTACTTAATTTGGTCTTTTATCCAACAAAAGATATTTCTTAATCAAAGTTTTTATTTTGAATGAAGATTTCTACAAAATCTTTTAACAAGCCTAAAAAAATAATTAAAACTTTTCTATAATATATATCCAAAATGTCAATAAATGATTAATTTGATGTCTTTTATGTAAGTTATTTATATTCTCTATGGAAAAGCTGGGGAAAAAAAAATTTGTCAATCCACTATCAATTTTTTATCTAAGCTATCTTATTTTTTATTCTTTTCGAATAAACCGAATTTATTCAAACTTTTTTTTATTGTTGCCAATTTGATTTTTAACTTTTCCTATTAACGAAATCAAATATTTTTTATTTGTTTTATTCCTCCTTCTTAAAATAATATATAAAATTTGTTAGAAAATAACTAATTGTTTAATCTGAGCTCTTGCTTAATTTAAGGGTTATATGATCATTCAAATAAATGAAGAGAGAGTAACTCATATCAAAAGGATCATTTTATTTCTCACTCTGTTAATAAAATAACAAATTTTAGAAAACTAATTTAGAACTGTTCGAAATTGTTTTGTTTTTATAGTTGTAGTAGATATATAAGTTATTTGATTTTATGGTGAAACTTGGTAAATGAAATATTCAACAGTGAAAGACCTTACTGCTTTATATTTTTAACCATAATGAATAGATTTTTATTATTGATATTTTAATTTAGGTCTGTTTTTGTTTTTAGTGACTCAAAACTATATCTTAGCGATATTAATAAAGAAGTGTATTTATATTAAAATAACTCAATTAATGTGCTATTACTAGAATTAAATATATTTACACTAGTTATTTTTTGAAATATTAATTTAGTCACTGTATTATAATTTGATGCTAATTATTTCAATTAATATATCTTAATTTGATGTTAATTTGCATTTATATTAAAATTTTAATCAAAATTTCATTTGCATTTTTTACAATTGTAATTATTATTTGGTATGTATTTTTCACTCAAGGTTTGTTCTTTCTAAAAAGAGTAATTAAATTTCTTAATTCTTTTTCAATCTATTAATTTAATTTTTAGATTTTTTAGAGAGTATAAATAATAATTAGCCTAAATACACAAGATAATAGGAAAACTATTAATTTCTTAGCTATATCAATATTTCCTCTTTGGGTTGGAAGGATTTACGAATGTTTATAAAATTATATAATTTAAATCTTAAAGTTAAATGGTATTCAAGAAAAAATAAGTCTTGATGGTTGTCTGATAATTGCATAAATAAAAATTCATTAAATTTGAATCATGTTGAGCAAGCATCTTAAACACAAAATTATTGATACTAACATTATGAAAGTTGACTTTGGTTCTCATAAAACTGATATTTTCATTTAATGGTTAAAAGTCCCAGATGTAAATAAAACTGAACTATTATATTATTCCATACTTGATAAAATTCATAATTGAATATACAAATTTTTCAAAATATTAAATCTTGAAAAAAATCAATGAAAAGTAGAAATTTTGAAATTTGTGGGTTAGGGTGTGAATTGTGGTTTTTCTCCGGGTGGCGGTGATTCACCAATAAAAGTTAAAATTATAGAAAATTCACTTATTATTAGTACTACTGCAATTAGTTATCAAAGAATACAAAAAAATATAATTAATTTATTCTTTAGGGGAGAGGTCTTGTAAGTCATCCTATTTACTGAATATTTTAGGACATTTTGTTATTTTAGTACTCCAAAGAATACACCTTTAAAAAATGATTATGTATTGTCAGAAAGGATTAGCATAACTTTAAGAAAAATTTTAGTTTGCTTTTAATGACATCTGAAGTGGGGGTAAAAATAATTCATATCAAAAATTAATATACATAATTAAATGTATGTAGATAAATAAATTAATTAGTAATTTCTACTCCTTATATTTTAAATTCAATTGATTTGAATATAAAATATGAAATCAATAAATTAATAAATAAATGTAAAAATTGTATTATTTATAAAAAGAAATTAAATTAAATTTTCAGTAAGGTAATTTAATCATGTATTATTAAAATTTATATTCATAAAATTAATATATATTGAATGTAATTACCATGAATACTGAAAAATTAAATAGTTTTAAATCCAAATTTAAATGAATCATATTTTAAATAATTTTCTAATATATTGAAAGGAATTTTTTATAAATCAAGGTGATTTATAAAAATTTATTTCAATACATTAGAAAATAGTTAAAGTTAAAAAGAAAAATTAGGCTCATTTAATTAATACCGGATGATATAATCAATCAAAAATTCATCATTTATTTATTTTTTCTAACAAAATCTATTTTGAAATAGAAACTCTTAAATAAGTGTAAGGTAAGCACAAAAGAGCATTATTTACAGATTTATCAAAGAAAAAACTAATTCTCTCTTCATTAAATGATCTTGCATTGATTCTTGATGCCCTTCTTGAGTTCCAGTATATGAATATGTTTATAATTTGTTCTACAATAATGTATTAATATCAAAACTAATATCATTTTTATATTTAAGTATCAAAAATAATTTGAAAAAAATCAATAATTCTTGAGCATGTGATGAGTACAATGATTTTCCAATTCATTAACAGATAAATTTACTTTAACTCATGAAGTGTATCCAGAATCGATACAGAGTCATTAATTTGAGAAAAAACTTCGTTTTTCCTTCTCTTTGCCCAACTTAGAGCCTTAATTTATTTATCATTTGATAACTATTCCCTCATTAAAACTTGCAATCAATTTTTATAGACCAAATGAAGACCATTTTAGGGAAATGAACTTTATTTTAATTAGGATAAATTAATTCATTTATTTCTATTTTTAGAGAATAAAGGTTGATATGAAGTGTTTATCATTAGTTGAATTGAATTTATAGTTTTTATTTAAATTGTTGGAAGAGAGTAGGTTTTATAGCTTAAATTTCATTACATAAGCAAATTGCAATATTGAATTGCTGAACAATTTCAAATACCCAGGGATTTCCAATTTTTTTCTTGAAAAATGATTTGAAGTAAAATATTTAAAATTATTAAATATTTAAAGCTTAGTTATAGAATATCTCCCAAAAATGGATAACTGCTATTTGTACTTCCTAAAAATTGACAACTAGTGAGTTTATCTTGTTTAAGTACTCTTTTTTATCAAATAACTTTTAACTTTCATATTAGATAATTATAGGTCAACATTATGTATTTAATTCGACATCACTTGAGTTATTAAGCTTTTTAATATATCATAAGAAAATTAATCATGAAATATTTAAATATTAATTTTAATAGAAAAATGTAATTTTAAATTACATGTAATTAAGCTGATCATCAAAATCAATAAATAATAGGGTTTTGCATAGATAGTTCTTGCACAAAATACAGATCTTATTGTAATTCTTGCATACCTAGTCACAGTGAACATCTTCATAAGTTAACATCCTTAGAATTTTTGTATTAATGGATTGAGCAAGGGATCCTTAGTATTGATAGTGTTTAAAAGAATGTTTAAAAGTTTAAAGTAGCCCTTGATAGTCTTATAAGTTAATTCCTTCCTTATTTTAACTTGAATATTTAAGAATTCTCATAATTAGGAGTATCAGAGATTGAAAAATTGATAAACGATTTGTGTAAAATCAAAGATTCTGAAAAAGTATTATTTATTCAACTTAATCAATTATTCGATTAAGGATAATCGATTATAAACGAAATACTTAAAAAAATAAAGAATTAAACAAATTTTACGTAACATATTAATTTGTAAATACAACATCTTAATTAAGATAAATTGAATTTAGAAAAATAAAATGATCCTTTTATATTACAACCAAATCCAAAATCAAACACCTATGTGTTGATGAATTAAAATTCTATTAAATTTGATGGTTATTGTCAAGCTATTGCCTTTGATAAAGATTGTTCAACTGTAGCACTTGGTTGTAATAAATTAATAAAAATATATGAGTTCAAGTAAGAAATGTTAACATTAATACAAATATTAGATGAACATAAAGATTATATATGGACATTAAATTTCATGAAAAAAACCAATTAGTTTTTATCTGGCGATCGTATTGGATTAATTCTTATTTGGTCAAGAAATAATAATAATTAATGGAATTGCTCATAAACAATTAAAGAGCATACTGATTCTATTCGATGTTTAATTTTGAATAATAATGAAGATATTTTAATATCTAGCAGTAATGATAATAAAATTAAATTTTGGATTAAAAAGGATGAATGGATTTGTTAATAAACTATTTCAGATCATGAAAAAACTGTTGATTAATTAAGTTTAAATGAATAAGAAAATTAAGTTATTTCTTGTGGAAGGGATAAGTAAATATTAGTAATTGAATACTCTGAATAAAATTAAAAGTGGGTGGTAATTTAAAATATTCAAATTAACAGTGATGGATATCGAATATGCTTTATAAACAATAATTAATTCACATTTTAACCAAATTAAGGTAATTTGATGCATCTTTACGAAATGAATAGTATTAGTTAATAGTTTACTAAAACAAAAGATATTGCTGTAAATTTAGGTTATGATAGATTTGGATTATTTCCATAATAATTTATTAAACAAAAATAATTATTAGTTGGTAAGCATCATTAATGTGTAAATTTAATAAGAAAGACAGAAAATGATGAATTTAAAGTTGAGTAATCCATTTAATTTGATAGTTATGGTTTATATGGGTAAATGAGTGATGATGGAGAGTATTTGATAACCTGGGATTATTCATCTAAATTAATATAAATTAGGAAATATAAAGAAGGATGAGAATTATTTAAAAAAATTAAATAAAATAATAATTGAATTATTTTATATGTAATTACTTTTCATTACTATAAATATTTTATGAATACTATCAACTAATTTTTTATGTTTTCATAATTAATTTAGTTTTAGAATTGATTTTCAATAGAAATTAAACATTTTCATTCAAAATATTAATAATTAAGAATTGGATAATAGTTAAAATGCAATTTATTCCAATTCTTAACCAATTATTACCGTATAATCACATTCATACCAAATTTGAGCTGAAAATCAATAAAAAATATAGATAAAATTATTTTTTTCTTAATTATCAAATTATTAGCCTAAATGATTAAACGATTATTCTTAATACTTTCTTTCTAGTACTAAGATTTAATCACCTTCACATTTACAGTTAATTTCCTCTACAGAATTATCCTTATAGTTTATGCATTAATTTTCTCTGATTATTCTTAATAAATTTCCAGATAGTATAAAATTAAGAATTATTTTAAAGTTTTTTCAAATTTCTAATTATGCAATTTAAAGACCTTGCATCAAATATCTCAAATTTATAAATACTCTTTTCGAACTATAACTAAGAAAGTTTAGTAGAAGATGAGCTTAAGAAAAATAGAAATTATTAAAGTTTTACTTTTATCTTTATTTATTCCTTTATATCAATTTCCTGAAAGTTTCCCACTACTATTCAAATTATGCCAAAAGACTTGCAATAACATAACTAGCTATCATCTTGAACGTATGATAAGAAACCATTCTAATCTTTAAGAATTATATTTTGTATTTACATAAACCAAATAAAAAACAAAAGAAAATTAAAAGATATTATTGTTAAAGTGAGCCTAACAACTTTAAGTTGAAGTAAATAATTTGGGTTAAATTAATAAATTATTAAATTTTCAAAATTCTACTTTATTTTTGCTCTAATCTTAAGACTATTAGAAGTTAAATTGTGGAAATATTACAGATTAATTTCATATATAATGAAACTCACACTCTGAATAGAAAATAACAGGTTAGTATTCTATTTTCTATAAATCATTTAAATGTTTTTATTAATTAATAACATATATATGAACAACTTTTGATAAAAGAAAAAAGTTTAAAAAATTCTAATTAGTTGAATATAAAAAAAGAGAATCAATTTTTTTTAATTTAAATATAATTTGATGGGAGATATTGGTTTTATATCTATTCTTAGAAATATTACTTTGAAATTATTTTTTAGACCAAATTATGTTAATAATTATAGAGTGTATCTGAAGATTAATTTATAAACAAGGTCTTTTTTTGGTAGAGAAATAATAGTAATCAGTTAGTGCTTAGAGAGGATTGCTAAATGATAAAATAATGTTTAAAAAGGAAAAAGAGAGAAGAACTGAATGCTTCAAAAAAAAGTAGGATTATTTATAATTCTTTTTTGAAATGCTTAGCTAAAGTATTTCTGGCTTAGTTTATCTATCATATATTAAAGACTTAATTAATTTTTTTTTGATTAATAAATAGGAAGGAATATTTTCCAAACATTAAATTAAATCAAATCACCACTCAATATTATTATCAAGTATTTGTGATAATTTAATTTATAAATTATTATTAATTCCCTCTATTTAGTTCTTATAAGGATAATAATGCTTATGTTGAAAATATTGAGTATCTAACAAATAAGAGGTTATTCAATTTTGACAGCACCTATTTAAGTGATATCATTGCAATTATCACATTATTAAAGAAGGGGAGTAACAAAAATCTAACAAAAAATACACAAAAGAATTGAAAGAGATGAATAAATTAATTAAATTTTGTATTCAATACAATTAACGAACACATTATCACAATTAGTACAATATGAATCTTCAAAATCATTGCATTATGTATATAATAAGATTGTCAAATATCATATCAGCAAATTTATCTTCATTAAAATCTTAATGCTGATAAATTTCTTTGCAAAGACCATCAATTATCAATATTGAATTTATATTTAACAGTTTCTAACACATTTAAAAGAAAAACTTTTTTTGAATTTTATTCTAATCATCACATCATTAATCAAATTGTATTATAATTCATATCATAAAGGAATCATTTCCTTATTATTCAAATTTCATTCATATTAGACTAGATTGATATTAAATTTCAAGATGTGAGTGATCAAACTGGTATTTTCTTCATAAGCTTAATAAATTACTAAGCATCCTAAGAATGAGAAAAAAATATTTATTTTAGATTTATTCCCTTATTTCTATAAATTTTTTAATAAAATTTACTTATATTAATAATTATATGAAAAAATGTAAAACGATAGAGACTCAAGAGATGCTGTAATGCTCAAATAAACATAATAACTGTCCAGTTATTGTGATCTTACTAGATAAAGATCTTGAAGGAGCGTAAAGATTAGTGTGCCAATAATGTATAGTAAATAATTTAGGATTTATTAATGGAATTTCTATTACCTAAGGATTATGTAGAATTCAATCAATAAAGGAATAAATTTTTGATTCAATTTCCATTCACTTTTAATTAGCTTATGATAAATTGGAAGCTTTTCAAGGATAAATTTAGTAAGTTAAAAGAGACTTTCTATAGTCGATAAATCAAATTACTGAGAACCTCGATCTTTGGATGAAATAATTTGTAACACTAAAGGAAGGGTATGAATAATATAGCTTACTTGCTGAAATTGACATTCTAAATAAACCCTCTGATTAATTGATAGAATTAGAAAAATAAAAATTTAAAGACAAAATAAAAACAATAACTGATTAATATTGGACTAAGATTTTTTAGAATATATAAGCATTAGAAAGAACCAGCAAAGATTAAAAATTATTATTCTAATTGAATTAATTACAAGATTTAAATTTAAATTTGGAAACCATACAAAGTGTAGAAAATGTTTAGAATGAATAATAATAGAAAGAATCTAATCAATCTACAATTAGTTAAGTTGATAAATAAAATCGAGTTTAATCCCAATTGATTTAAGAAGTTAATTAAGAATAATAGTGTCATGTTTTAGATTTTAATAACGATAATTCTCTAATAGCCGCATCTTGTGATAAAAATATTAAAATTTGGAAATTCAGAGATGGATAAATGATTGATTAAAATATAGTTTTGACGGGTCATGAAAGTGATGTTTTTTGTATTTTATTTAGCAAGAAAATTAATTGGATTGTATCTGGTGATAAAAATAATCATATAAGAAGTTGGATTCAGAAATAAGGTTCTTTTGGAGCAACTCAATGGGAAAGCTCTTAACCATTAACATAGCATAAATCCTTCATACTCTGTTTGTATTTAAATTAAAATGAAGATGAATTAATATCTGGAAGTGGAGATTAAACGATAAAAGTATGGCGAGTGAATTGTTAATCAAATAAAATTGAATTCTTATATTCCCTTTGTAAGCATAATGGTTATGTTGATAAAGTAAACCTAAATTCTAAAGAAACTCAAATGGTATCTTGTGGATGGGATAAATAAATCATTTTATGGGAAAAGGATGGCAGTAATAAATGGTAATTTAAATATATTTTAACTTAATCAATTCAAGATATTGGTATAAGAATTGGATATTTAGAAGATGATACGATCGTTTGGTGTTAACTAGAAAAACCATTTTTACATGTTTTCAAATCATAAAATGGTAAATTTTAAGAAAGATCAGATTTGAAAGTTTAATTAAAAGAAATTATTCCTGAAAATAACTTTTTCGATTATAATCTGTTTTAGTTAAAATATTTATCAAAAGAAAAAGTCTTAATATTCAAGTCAAATAGATATTTATATTTTATGAAATAGAGTCTTAATTCTTAACTTATTTATCTTTGCAATCCTATTGATTTATAAACAATTGAAAGTTATGGAAATATAACTAATGATGGAAAATATTTAGTAAACTGGAATAAAAAGTGTAAGTAATTTTTAATTTATAAATTTGAATATGAATGAAAATTATAATTGATTTCATTTTTTGGTTCATTTAATGGGAGTTGTTGAAAAAATAAAAATAAATTAATACAAACATTTGATTCATTCTTATTTATTTTTTCTATTATTTCTATTATCTAATTAAAATTTATGTTTTCTGGAATATTTAAATTTGATTAGGATGAGCAACGTAATTATTATATTTTTTCTAATAAATCCAATATTTAATATGTAATCACAATCAAAACTAGTTCATTTTATTCTAGTTATAATTTAGCCAAAGTAAAAATTAAATAATCATTAAAGAAATGTAAAGCATCTAACTTTTTATTCAAATTTTATAACTATTATAAATTATTTTATGTATTTTCATATTTGATAATTTGAAGTTGTAACATTTACATTATTAATAATTGAAATATGAGCTTTAAATAATCAAGTAAGATTTGATTATTACATAAAATTATTTGATTTCATTAAGTATTGTTTCTAGTCATATAAATATAATTAAATTCTTGAAATATAAAGAGAAATCATAAATCTTTGATTATATTCATCAGAATATAAATAAAGTAAATTATTGGGACTACAAATATGTGATATTATCAACTATATCATGTAGTAAGGGGTTATGAATATTTAGTTTTTCAATTATAATAGGAGCTTATATTGGCAAATTATGTTCCTAATGATGAGATAGATAAAATCTGAAAACTATTTGGTTTTAAAAAGAATGCTTTCTCAGTGAAGAAAGAGTTAAATTTGAATTCAGACTTTGATTAATCCATCAAGAGTTGGATAAAAAGGAAAAAAATATAAATGAATTAAGTATTTAAATTAGTCATAATCAACCTAACCGATATAAATGATGAAACTAAAATTGAAAATTTTGATATGTATTTAATTCTTCATTTGTTAAATTTGATACAAAGATTTCAGATGAAAGTGATCTAATTAAAAGTATTAATCTTCTTAAATAATGATATCTCAATTATTATTTAATGGCTTAGAATCAAATAACTATTTATAATAATAATAATATGGATATTATATCATTAATA